TAGGTCGCTTTTATTTCATGTTAAGAAAAATAATATATCATGAAAATAATTGAAAATGTAGATGATAGAAAAAGAAGAAGAAGAAGAATAAGAAGAGGAATATAATCATCAACGATTGCTATAGTTTCAGACATTTTAAAAATGTATTCAAATAATATTTTCTAATGTTTTATGAAGATATGTGTTCCCATAATTATGAAAGTGATCTAAGATAAGTCACAATTGACAAATAAAAATGAATTTATCAATTATTTCACATCACATTATTTTTAAACTAAATTAATTCAATATAATTATGAGGAATATTGTGAAAAATGAAGCTGACAGATAATTGAATAAATTTTTGTTATTTCAATATCATATATAGAATTCATTTAACGTTCAAATGTAATTCGAAAGATTACGTTCTTTAATATGTGCTCATAATAATTATGAAAGTGATCTAATTGTCAGTCAAAATTTGAAAAGAGAATCATGAGTTTATCAATTATTTTACACAATATTATTTTTAAACTAAAATTCATTCAACGTTATATTTTTACGAATATTATGAAAAATACAATTGTCAGATAATTTAATAAATTTTTTTTTTTATTTCAATGTTATATGGACCGTCTATTTTAAAAGTGGGTGTAAGTCCACTTTCTTTTTTTTCGAGAAAATTAAAGGTTTAAAGGTTTTCATATCAATGATTACTCAATTTCTTTTACCGACCAATTTTAAATTGTCCAAAATATGGGCACTTTTTAAGAAATTAAATATTAACCAGTTATCCATAAAAAGTTCATATTAAATTAAACATAAATTACGTGATATCTCTTTTGTTTTGTTTTTTTAAACCTGGACTTACATCACTTTCAAAATAAACGGTCCATATATAGAATTCATTTATCATTCAAATGTAATTCTTTGGAATATCTCGAAACAACAGGTAATATAACTTACAATTAAATTACTTTCATAAATTATGGACACACATATATATATATATACTTGTTGGAAATACAATCAATTCAAATCAATATCTACTTTGCAATATTACGTGAGATATAAATTATTTACACGTTATCCTAACCCTTTCGATCTCGTAAAACTTTTATATCCGATACGTTAGAAGATTAAAAAAAAAAAAAAGAAAAAAACAATAAAGAAACTAAAAATAAAAACAAACAAATCCGTTCGTAAAAATTTCTCAGGGTATGAACTATCTTGGAAAGTTTACTAAAAAAAATAAATAATAAAAAGACAAACCCACCACTATGAAAAAGAAAAGTAGCTTCGAACTGTACATGGATATTAGCATGAAAAAAAAAATGAAAAAAAAAATATATATATATATATATATAGATACCGAAAAAAACAAACTAATTCATACAAAGTCTCAGGGTACGAACTATCTTAAAAATTTGCTGACTAAAAAAAAATAAGAAAAAAAAAACAAACCCCCCTACCAAGAAAAAGAAGAGTAGCTTCGAACTGTACATGGATAACAATATGAAAAAAAAGAGAATAAAAAAAATACGTATATCGATATCGAAAAAAACAAACCAATTCATACAAAGTCTCAGGGTATGAACTAACTTAAAAATTTGCTGACTAAAAAAAAAATAAAAAAAGAGAACTAACCCCCCATCAAGAAAAAGAAGAGTTCCTTCAAACAGGAGATGGATATTAGTACGAAAAAAAAAATACGTATATAGATACCAAAGGAAGGGTGGTAAGGGGGGATTAAGAAAACGATGCAGCAACGGGGCAAGTCTTTAAAATCGAACGGAAATCCAGTTTAAAACGTCTACCAACTACGTGGCAGTGGACTATACTAATAATAGAGTAAAGATACTCGGATGGATAGAAATACGACTTCCTACGGCAAGAGAAGTCGGTTTTCCTCTTCTACTTGGTCGCGGTAGTCCTAAGAATAACGGGCTTTGCGTTCGATGCATTATCCCTAGGGTACAAGAATAAGAATAAAAACAAGAAGAAGATGAATAAGAAGAAGAAATGAAGAAAGGGAGAGAAAAGATGAATAGAGTGAGGGAAAATAAGAGAGAAATGAGAGGTACAGTTCAAACATAGTTGGATATTACACGTGTACACGTGGCTTACACTTATTTTCACAACCATAAGTCTCAGCTGACCATCACATTTGCGTGGGAGTGACGAAACCAAAATGTTGTTGTTCGGATTAGATCCTTTTTTAAAGACTTCTGATTCTGTTTTTTTTTTTTTTTGGAGGATTCTATTCTTTCGAAAGATTTTCACATTTGTTTGCTTCCTTCAAAACTTTCCCCTCTATTTTAAATCAACCCCACTATTTTCAAGTTTCTTAGTTTTTATGTTTAAAATTATAGACTTTTTATGAAATTGTTTGATAGTTTCAATTGGTGCAAGTTTTATTTGTCCTAATACATAAACATTTTTTGTTTTTACCTTTTCATTGTACCTTTTTTTTCGAATTTTGAAATAAATTGATAATTTAGACTAGTATTATATTTTTTGTTTTGTTGGTTAGTATAATAGCTTTTGATTATATTATTATGATGGTATTTAAATTATTATAAATGATATATTAAAAATATTTATATTTTTATTTATATTTATTTTTAATATATTATTTTATTATATATTATTATATTATATTAATATTTATATTTAAAATAGATTAGATAATATATAAAAATTATTATAAGTGATGTATTAAAAATATTTATATTTATATTTATATTTAATATATTTTTATTATATGTATAACTATATTATATTAATATTTGTATATTTAATACTATATTAAATAATATTTCAAAATTATTATGTGAATGATATATTTAAACTAAACAATATGTTATACATATATTTTTTATGAAACATCTAGAAAAAGATGAGAATATCTAATTATATTTTCTATTTTGAAATTTCTACTGAAACGCGCATATTTGAACATTTTGTTTATCTTTTTCGATAATCTCTACTTACGCTTCTGAATAAAACCGGCAGTAACTGGTGAATCGGTTCGATAGCAGATAACTAATTACAGCTTAGCAAACCTCTCTTCGTAATACCAGCTTTTTATTCGAACGAGTATTATATACCTCTTCTACCTATCCTATACCAAACGAGTAGTAATTAAACGAGAAGCTGTTCGGTTTCTTCTAACAAGTTTGCCACTGTTTAATGTTGCTTACGTCTTGATATATATTTTATCCTTTCATTCATTCATTCATTCATTCATTCATTCATTCATTCATTCTTTTTTATTTTCTTTCATTCTTTGTTTCATTCTCAATTTGATATTTTAATAGTAAATTTGTAAAGATGTTTTGTTCATTATTTTTTTAATTACTTACAAACATCGTTTGAATGAAGAATTGAGCAAAACCATTTTGAAATGAATTCAATTGTCTCAATCTGTAAATCTATACTGTTAATTATAGTTAAATCAAACACGCGTACAATTTTCTCAAAAACTATCTATCTGTATAATCGTATAGAAATTTTACACCCATGATCCATGATACACATTCGTGTTTAGTATTTTAAACTTTGCGTTATGCGACTACTTTAATCCTATCGTATATTTATCCGTCTATCATAGTGTTCGATTTGATTTATTTGTCCTATCTTCTTCTACGTTTTGAAACCTGGTGTTTTAGATTTATTACGAAATAAATTAAGAAAATGTTGAATGATCGTAAAAATAAAGTGAATGAGAGAAAGAAAGATAGATAGTAAGAGAAATTGATGAAATATGAAAACATTTAACAATAAACACGTTGATTAAGTATTGACAATTTGTTACATTTGGAAAATATAAAAATTTTTTATATTATAAATATTGTTCAGAAAGTTAACTAAAGAATATTTTTCTTTCCTATTTCTCTATTTCTCTATTTCTTCAATTAATAATAAATAAATATTATTAATTTTAATTATAATATTAGATGTACAACTTTGCTTTAGCTATTTTCCTACAGATGGCTTATAGAAAAAATGGCGGGAACAAACTTGTACACCTATTATTATTAAATACATTTTAATATAAATATAAATATTCAATAGAATATTATTGAAAGTCAATAGAATTTGGTTAGAATTTTGATCGTACGATTATTCGATAAAAAAATTTCAACAAAAATTGTTCCGTTTTCCTATTTTTCGTTTATTTTTTATTGAGAATTGAAGTTAAAAAAAAAAAGAAAAAAATTAAAAAAAAAAAGTGGATCGCGTTTTCTGCGAAGAGTTTAATATAAAAGCTCGAGTACCATTTTTCCCCGAATTTTTGGTAGATTTATCGAGAGGGAAAAATCAAAGGATTCATATAACGTTGAATCGTAAAAGGAGAAAAAATAAAAAAAAAAGCTCAGGCGTTTCTTACCGAACAGGTCAAGAGGTCGATAACGAGAGAGTCGATCTCCCGTTACCAGACGATATTACGATCGACGAAACCTTCTTTCTCTCTTTCTTACTCTCTAGGTTTCCTATTTCTCTGTCGTTTCTCAATCATGCACGCGGGAGAAAAGGATTTGAAGTTTTTTTTTTTCTCCACCTAACTACTTATTTATTCCGTAAGAAATACAAAACAGGATTCGCGAGTTAAAAGTTCAATTCTTCGAGCTTTTTCTTTGTACAGTTGAAAAAAAGAAATAAAAACTAAACTAAAAAGAAATAGAACAAGTTTATTATTAAAAAAAAAAAAAGATTTCTCGAGAATGTCACCAATAATTTACGACTTTGTTGTTTCTCATTATCGATTACGAACCGTGACAAAAGTTGTTTTATCTCTCTATCTCTTTCTTTTGATCAACAACAGGAAGTTGCAACGATTAAGGGATCAATTTATGAAACTTCATTCACGCTTTCATGTAAGTGTCATATACGTACACACCTGTCTCGTGATAACTCATCATAAAAGAAGTAATGTAACCGACTTCAATAATAATAATTATTATAAATAATAATAGTTTGAAATCTTTGCGAAGTTCCTTCGCGAACGAAGGACTTACCTCTTCCGCAAATGATCTCTGCTGCAACGAGGCCCAACACATGTTGCACGGACAGACTTCAAACTCCTTGAAATTATCACCTCTATCTCTATCCCTAGTACCTAGCTGAGGTGGCGGTGGTGGTACAGGTGGCGGCAAAGGACTAGTAGCAACTTCGAGACTATCCGAACTCGAATTGTGACGTCTAGGTGGTGTTATGTTCGTAGCGACGTTACCTTGAGATGCTCTTTTAGTTTCGACGGATTTTGAATAAGGAGAAGATAAATAAAGATTTAACGTGCACTTGTTGTTGTTGGTGTTGTTTTGTTGTGGTTGTGGTTTTAAGAAATCATCCAAAAGATAAAAACTTTGAGCCCTGCTCGATCTGGTAGTAGTAGTCGAGGATGACGTGTTAGTAGTCGATGTATTACCGGTACTAGTTTGTTGATCAATTCTACAAAAGCTTTCGCGATTTGTTCTACCTCTGCACTCGTCCTTGAACTGATGATGTCTAACGAGCGAATGTCTACCGGTAATTTCATCGATCATTTCACGATCCACGGATGTCGCGTTACTATTAGCAGTCTCGGATGAATCTTGATATAATCTACGACTGACCTTGGTTCTGGCAGCTTGAACAGAGAACTCACCGTTCTCTCTGTAAATATCTCTGGTGACTCTGGACACACGAGCCGAGTAAGAACTCGGTTGTTGATATCTCGTAGTAGAAGAAGATTTGCTAACGGAGCCACGTGGTGGATGTTGTTGTTCATCTCTCGAACGTTCTACGGTGTTGCTGCTGCTGTTCTCGATCATCGAAACGCTCATGTTGTGAGAAGAAAATGAATTTTGAAGAGAAGTAGCGTGCGAGGAAGTAGAACTTCCTCCGCCAACTGTGGGAGCGCGAAGAAGGGCACCCAAGGAACGCCATTTCCTATCCTGTTGTTGCGGTTGTGCCTGTTGACCTCCTCCACTTCCTACTCCTCCACTTCCTCCAGTGCTAGTAGCGAGAACATTGGTCGAGCTAGAAGAAACCGAGGACCTGGTCCACTTCCTCTCGTTGCTCGGTGACGTCAAAGATACGCTGTTACCGACTGACCATTTCCGTTCACCCATGGTGGGCGACGTCATCGAGGACGGCCACTTTCTCTCGTTTGAGGGTGACGCCATCGAGGTGCTCGACCACTTTCGCTCGGACGAGGGCAACATCGAACTGGTAGAAGTGTTGTTGTTGGTGTTGGTCACCGAACTCGAGGACCCACCGACAACGCCACCGTTCAGCTGTTGTTCCTCTCGTTGTCTCGCTTTCCACCAAGACGAGGTAGACGTGAACAATATCAGGGCACCCTTCAATGGATTTTGATTTTTCGTCGAACTAGCAATTTTCGGTGATTGTTCTCGATCCTTAGACTTTAACAATTCCCGAAAACTCGAGGGTTCGCACTCGCGATCACTGAATGCTGACGCGTCTCGATCTCTAAATGCACTTTTAGCAGCTGCCACTTCTTCCTCGTGAAAGATCGTTGCGTTGGTACTTCGCAAACGTGGCCTGACTTTTACAAAACCGTAATCGTTACTGTCTTGTATCGTATCAGTATCAATTCCTCGATGATGCTGTTGTTGTTGTCGTTGTTGAACGTTGCTACTCGATTGTTGAAGCAAGGAACTACTCTGACCAGAAGAGTACTGATGATGATGATGTTGTTGTTGCTGTTGTTGCTGCTGCTGCTGCTGCTGCTGAGAATGATGATGATGATGATGATGGTGACTATTGGTAAGTTGGAGGCTAGGTTGTTGCAACAATGTTGAAGTTCTTGCACGATGGCCCTCGCCGACGGTACTCCTTTGTAGACAGGAGAAGCTTGCGGAGTGACGCAAGCTCGAGGGCGGATTGCTCGGCTGACTCACGCCTAACATCTTTTCTCTTTTCTTCTACTTTTACAACTACTATTGCTGCTGTTGCTTCTACTTCTACTTCTTCTTTTTTTTCTTCGCTCTTTGATCTTCCAACGCGTACGCGGGAGTAAAAGCCGGGTGGAAAAAGAGTGAGAAAGAAAGATAGATAGACAGACAGACAGATAGACAAAGACAGAAAAAGGTAGATAAATAGAGCTTAAAAAAAAAGATACAGAAAGAGAAAGAAGATTCTGTTTAAAAAGACAAGAAGAGAACGAGAGAGAGAGATAGATAGATAGATAGATAAAACAAGTGTACGTAGTTTCGGAATTGGTTTAACTGTGTTTCCGATTTGTTTATTATAAAATAGTAAATAATAATTGAAAAAATAATGCAAAAAGTTATGACGAAGAACAGTATGCGATTTAACGGACGGTTCAAATTGGGCCCAGCACACTTAACACAACTTTTGATTGCTGTTCGTTACCCTGGCAGTGAATTTATTGGTCGTCGTTGTCTCGTTAATAATATCCAACGACTAAAACAACAACCACTATGACGATTATTATTAAAAATCGTTAAAATTGTGTCTTCAACAAAACAACAACCGGCAGTAATTTTTTTCTTCCTTCTTTTTTCCTTCTCTTCGTCGACTCTTGATATTATTCTCACGACGTGCATCCTCAACGTCTGACTGATCGATAAGTAACCACCCACCGGTTACTACATCATCCACGATGACGATGAACGACGACGTGTTGTTGTTGTACTTCCTGTTGTTTCTTACGTACGACGTCAGATCGTACGAAATCTGAAACAAAAATTAGGAATAGGGTAGGGATAGACGGCAAACTTAAAAAATGAAAAGAAAAAAACAAACATAATAATGATAAGTACTACACAATACAACAAACAAAAAGGCAAATAAGCTTACCGAGCGGTATATAAAAGCATACATGGGTTCTGGGGGTGCGGGGGTGACTACTACATGGGGTGGAGACGACGAGGGGCTTTATGGGAGATGTGACACCAAAAAAACAAAATTAAATAAATAAATTTCTAAATTTTTGAACGATAGTTAGACTAACTATTAGCGTATGTTTTTACATTTATTATTAATTCTAAACAATTATTACGTAATTTGGAAATTTTAAAAGACGAGGGGGGCTTTATGGAACATCTAACACCAAAAATAAATAAATAAATAAATAAATAAATTTCTGAATGAGTGATAGTTAGGCTATATATTAATGTCATCGTGTGTGTGGGTGTATTTTTACTCTTATTATCAATTATTAAATTATAATTTATTATTTTCAATATTAAACACAATTACCACGTAATTTGGAACTTCTAAAAGATGAGAGGTTATATTAAAAATATGATACAACAAAAAACAAATTAAATAAATTTAAAAATTTCCGAATAATTGATAGTTAGGCTAACTATTAGTAACATAGTGTATGAGTGTATTTTTACACTTATTATTAATTATTATTATCAATATTAAAACAAGTGTATCAAGTAATTTGGAAATTCTCTAATCTTCATATTCACAACGTCCTACATTATATAAATCATCGAATGAGGGTAGATTTGAGGCCAGGGGCAGGCTGGGGGTGGGAGGGTATGACGGAGGGGTAATAGCACTCTCGAAAAGGGCTTTCTATGCTTTCTCGTCCATTTGTATTGTAGTCTCACAGTGAGTGCCACGAGAGACGATGATAATGCGATTTCCGTGGTACTCCGCAGCTAGAGGGAAGTAAATGGGAGAGGGAAGGAAAAAGAGAAGGTTGATGGGAGGAGGGTGGTGGGAGGAGGAAGGAAGGAAGAAATAGAAGGAACACGAGGAGATACGCGTTAGAGATCGGTGAAGGATGAAGGACGTTTTGTGGTCAAAGTCAGAAACCGACCATGCTTCCAGATTGTCTACCACTTCAACTGACGCGCGAGAGAAAACTTTGATAAGATAAATTCAATCTCTTTCTAACGTGTTAAACAAAAAAGTGTTTAGAAAGAGAGATAAAAAAAAAATGAATGAAAAAAAAAAAAAATAAAATCGTACGATTTTATTCTTCTCTTTCTTTCTTTTTTTTTTTTTACTTTTATCTTCAATTAATCTCGTTATTCCATGTAGTTATCTGGCGACGAATGATTTTAAACGGATATTTCACTTGGTAAATGTGAAAGGAAGCAAAGGGGAAATTTACGGGCTCTAAATTACACGTTAAGTGAGATGCTATTTCTCGAAAATCCTCAGGCAGCCAAGCAGGCAAGTCAAGGCAAAGGCAGGCACAGGCAGGGTGTCGTAAAATGGAAGTGAAATTAAAGATCGAGGAGGGGATGATGATGTTGCTGTTGCTGTTGCTCTGATGCTGGCTGTTGATATTGCGCTGCTTGTTTACGATGACTCAAGGGATCAAATGAAAACTTAATGTTAAATTAGAATGAAACCGGGTTTGGGATATCCGTCATGCTTCAAACTTAGGACCAATGAACAGCTATATTAAAAAAAGAAGCTCAAGGGTATCGTTTCAAAGGGGTGGGGGGAAGGGTCAAGGTTTTCAGGAATAACAGAGTGTCGAAAATACATCATTTTCAATATGATTTAGAAACATATACCTTGTTATTCAAAATAGATACGGTCAAGAACATATATATATATATATGAATGTGTTATAAATGTGTTACACATATGTATATATGTATATAAGATGGAGTTTTAAGTCGTCGGATGTTTCGTGACTTGTGAGATATTTAATAAATGGACATAATTATTTCCTAATTAACCGAGTCTGGACCGTAATTAACGCGATTAACATTCCTAATGGGACTTCCTTCATGCAGGTCACATTTCTTTCTTGTATCTCTCGACGTATACGTGGAAAGAAATTTTCAAGCATCGTTGTAGCAAACGAATTATTTTATCTTATTGTTATAATTATTTATTTGATATTTTTTCTTATATATACGTAAATAAAAATTCGTTGTCCTGCAGTTTGCAAAAAGAGGACCGGATCAACACCTGCACAAGTTGATGCATCTCGAATTTGACTTGAAATTTTCCTCCATGAATTAATTGAATTAATTAATTAATCAACAAGTAGACTCGTCAATGGTAATACGCTGCGTAACATTTTTTTTTTTTTTTTTTTAAATGGGGATGGAAATGTATTGTGAAACACAGCGTCGTTAGAACAATCGTTAAACGTTACCAAATTGTTGTTAATAGTTTACAGCCGAAGATATAACGAGGAACAATGATGACTCACCTAAAAAAATGTTAATGGCATTCTCTCTTTCTCTATCTCTTTCTCTTCTTCAATTCGAAGAAATTGAAATGTACGTTTAACTCGTTGGCACGTGGAGAATTAGAATCCTTCGTTCTTGTCGTAGCAGTGGGTGGGTGGGCGGTCGGTTTGGCTTTGAAAATTTTTCAATGTTTATGATCTTCTAAGATTTATCGTATAAATTCATTCTTTTGAACTTCTTCCAACAAATTCCTCCCCATCTTTTCAATCGTAAATATTCTTTTTCCAACGAATCTCAAGGACAATGTCTCGAGAGTTCACAGATTTTTATTTTAACTCAACTGTGATTATGTTCAAATTAAAAAACAATCTTATCAATTTAATCAACTCGTAAGATTTCTCAGAATGTTATACGTGTTTTAATCTCATACACGTTTAATATAATAAATGATATCTAACAACAACAACAACAACAACAACAAAACCTAGATGTAACAAAACACACAGTGAAAGGAATTTTTCAAGGCGGGAAAAGTAAAGTGACACCCACACGAAAGAAACATAAGAGACATGTCTGTCACTCGGTTGTAATACAAAAGGCAAGGACGGCCGTTAAGTGCGAATAAAAGTTCACTATATGAAGTTTATTACGAAATCCTATTATAAGTATGGTTGCAACACAATAATGATGTTTAATAAGATACCAACTAAGAAAGGGTTTTCTCAGAGCAACAAAATGCATATAAGTCGATTTTCCATTATAAACGTACCAATTAGATAATAATATCGACAGGTATATTTCATATGTTTCCACGAAGATACACCATACATAATACACCATCATAATAACCCTATATCTACAAAGTATAATCCTCATACTTAAATCAATTCTCCCATTAAAATCGAAAAACTTTTCTCCACTAATTGTAAAGTAAAATCAAATAAAACGAGTTCCTATAATACTCAGTATACACCCGGTATATGATTCAAACTCGTTTATTTTATCAAACGGAATTTAAAATGATCGAAGAGGTGAGTAAAAAAGTTTGACTTCTTTTTTAACGAGTCAGTCCGATGCACTTCTACGAGAGGGATTTCTAAGGAAGGAGGAAGGGTAGGTGAGAGGGTGGGAGGGTTCTGAAGAGAAAGAAAGAGGATATCGGAAGGGTTCATGCATATGCATGTGTTATCGATGCGACCACCTTATATGCAACTCGCCAAACTCTCACCTCAAGCATTGTTTCATTCTTACACACATATGCATGAATATGTGTGTGATTGTATGTATGCAATGGCTAACCAACGTAAATGAAAATGCAGTCCTTCCTCCACCTCCTTCCCCTGTTTTTTCTTCCTTTTCTTTTTCTTCTTTTTCTTCTCCCACTCCAATCATAGGAATGCCAACGTAATGTAACATTTGCGCTCTGGATATAGTTCGAGCCAACCCGGTTAACGTAATTGCACAGAATCTTCGGCCGTAACTAATTGCATATAGGGTACGTAATAAACACGGACTAACACAACTAAATACGTGATTCTTAAACACGTTGCTTAAGATTTATTATGAAAAATATTCGAAAGCTTAAATCCCCTAACCCCCACCCACCCATCTTCATTTTCTTTTCCTTCTTTTTACAATTAGTTATATATCTTGTTTTTTTTTTGTTTTTTTTCCATAAATCAGTTTCACAGGATGGATTAATTAATAATAAATGATCACTATGTTACGTGATATCGTTTGAAAGATCCTAAAGATAAAACAGCAATGTAGTAGTAAGTAATAATCGTTCGTGCAGAAATTGTTTTATTAATCGTGAAAGATTATCATCTATCCGATGTATAAAATATCATAGATAAAAATTACTGAAGAAATCTATGGAAGAAATCTATACTGGATTATAAACGTATTCGAAATGATATACTACGATGAAGAATCGATTAATCGTTTTCTATCTCGTATA